AGAAAATTAATAGAATTTCGCAAAGTTAACGCTTGGATCTCTAACGGTAGTATTTTACGATTATACCGCCGCGAATATGAGATTACGCTCGGTCGAGCAGTATCGCCAAAGCGGAACGAAGAAATCGAAATCGGTGCCGAGCGATGCGGAGGCGATGAGAGGCCCGGTGAAGGTAACGCTTCATTTTTCATCCTGCTAACCGAATTTGTCGAACTCGGACCTGCGCCAAGGGTGGGATCTAATTTCAGGGCCATTCCAATGGATACGAGGCTCCACCCTCACCGACCGATAACCGTGAACTATCATTTGTACGAATTACATCGCCGACCCTCCTTACATCGCCGATCGTTTGTTATTATTAGCTTCAGCCTGCCGCTTGTAATGGTTTTGTTATATCTCTCGCAAGACCAGATGAGCGTTCTGGACATCGCCAGGCGCCTTAGTCCACATGTATGTGCTGGTTAATCAAGTAGCTGCTTCGTCGGGGACAAATTTCACTCAACTCTCTCGCGAGTAATCTCCGAAATATTCCAGAACGCGATACGAATCTGAATCCGAGTCGAGCGTGTTTAAGTGTGTTGGCTGTATATGGCTGTATAGAGTCTCGAAAACGACGGTAGAATCACGCGGAGGCTGTAGCCTCCGCCAAGATCGACCCGGACGAACCGCGTCAAAAGAATCGACGAAATAATTACGTCAATCGGGCCCTCTCGTTCTTTCTTTCTTTCTTTCTTTCTTTCTTTCTTCCTTCATCTCTCTTTCCGCATTCTCCGCCGGCTATCATCCCCAGCAGGTGGGTTAAGCTTTCATCCTCAGGAAGCGTGAAGAGGCTCTCTCGTGTCCGCCGATGGGGTCCGGCTCCCCGTCCCGATCCCGACCTGGTAAGGGGAGGTTGCGCGCGCGGTGCGATGGAAATTATACGTACATAAGAGGAACGGAAGGTGAGAGACTGGTACGTTAAAGAAATTAGAGAGATAATTCCTCGGACGAATACCCAATTTACCCTTTCGTCCGTACCGAGCGCCCTGGCCTTATTATCTAAAGTGCTCGGCTGCCAGAGAGGGTAGCGAAAAAATAAAAAGAACACCCTCTCCTAACGGAAAAGGCGGAGGGTCGGGCGGGGCGGTAGCAGCTTGGAAGGACAAAAAGCACTAAAGTACACCTCCGACCTTCTCCTACGCGAACGTCGCTCTATCCGGAACTCAGCAGCCAGTAGCAGCGGCAACGGCAACAGCGGGACGCTGGCATGCTGGGAAACTTTTTTCGGCTCCTATAATTTATTTACGGCTGAGATATTTTTCTCCGTGCTTCAACACCTTCCGCGACCCCACCGCCGCCGCCGCCGCCGCCGCCGCCGACGATTCTTCGCCGAGGAGCGAGGTGGAAAAGGAGTGAAACGAGCGCGTCTCTTAAGCGATCCACCTTTCTTACTGCACCCGCGATTGCGCCTTTGCGCCTCGCTCCTTCCTTTTCCGCTGATATGTCCGCCTGTCCGCTCCTTCCTTATCTCTTCTTCCCCTTCGGTGCCCGCGCTTTACGGGGCGCGCTTAATCTCGATATAGCGTTCGACTCCGCGTGAAACTTTTCGACCGATAATCGCGTCGTGCGCGCAACGCCGCGACAAAGCGACGGAATCTCTTTCTCTGCCGATTTGTATAATCGTCGCATCGAAATATTAATCGCGCCCGCGAAGCAGGAGAAGACGAGTTTCATCGGCCGATTAAAAGTATTTTCAGCGGTCGAGACGGTCGGGGTGCGGTCGATTTAACGTCAAACGACGGTTTCCCGCTGCATTTAAAATACCTGTCAAATTCCGCGAAGGGCGTTCAGCCCGTTTCGTTTGGTGTTTCCTCTCTTACGCGCGTGCGCGCACGTTATTGCAATCGCGAAAAATCAGTCTCGCCAGACCGCGCGCGACGTGCCGCCCGGAAATACCGTGTTTCGGTATGTTCGGTGCGGTGCGGTGCGATTCTCTCCGCTGGCCGGCTCGTAGTTTTAACGTCGTCGCGAGCCCGAGCCACGAGCTACAAGAGCGACTACGAGAGCACTAGTCTTCGTCGCTATTTTGGGGAATGGACGCAGGGACGCGAATACATTCGATCGATGAATCACTCCGTACACCGTGACGTTGACGCGCGGCGTTGGCGCGAGGGTCCACGAGTTCCATGCCGAAACGGCCGGGGTAGGCGGCGGAGGCGACGGCGGGGGGGGGAGGGGCCACCGTTCTCTCGCAGAGGGGTTGGATGCACCCCGTCGCATATATATGGTGGCGGCTCACCGGTTGCGGGTACAGGCTATGCAGGTGCGGGTGTATTAAAAAGCGGGGGTGGCTGCGGTCGCGTACCAATCACCCGACAGGGACGAGGGGGTGGCGGTGCCGTTGGACGAGACGGGCTACGGGGGGTCGGATGGCCGGCAACTGGACGATCGGGGGCAGTCACGGTGCAGAGAGGGATCATATAGAGACGACGGTTTGTTGCGAGAGAGAACACGCGCTCGAGCCCACGCAGAGCCCGTGAAATTTTAATCGTGTCGTCATTGGGGTAGTTTGTTGCGATAACCCGACCAGCATAGACGTATACGGATTTCGGTGGGGGCCGAAAAAAAGAGGACGAAAGGGTGGAAAACCGTGCCGCCGCCGCCGCCGAACGTTACCGCTTTTCCTCTTTTTTTTTTTTTTTTTTTTTTTTTTCTACTATTTTCTTTTTTCCAGACGTTTTCTCGTGTTACCGGGGACGCTATGTTGGACGCGAGCGCTAAGCATCGACGCGCGTACACCGCTCGGTTGCATTCATTAACGGTGCGCGAGAGTGTAAAAGTTGCGCCTCTCGAAATGTGCTTCTTTTTACTTCTCGCGCAGCGCGGAACTTTGGATATTCCGAGCGACTCGTGCGACTCACGTGCGCACACTCGTTGATCTTATCCGAGGAATCGGTCGTTGCGCAAAAATACGAAAAGATACTTCCCGCACGAAAATGTGAAAAAAAAAAAGAAGCAGAAGCGTAGCCGGAAACACTCGTAATCGTAAACACATTACGGGTGATCGCGGACAGGTGGAACGACTCGCTGAAAAACGCGGCACGCGGAGAGAGATTCATGGGGAACACGACGTGTCGGCATTATTGCTCATTTGACCTGGCGCGCATCGGAAAATAATGTAGAAAATTGTTTTGCGGTCTTTTTATCTCGATTTCAGGGACGCCGGTCAGTGTGCGGGGTTGACGGGTGCTTTGTCTGTTTCCCATCAATCACGCGGACCTTTTCACCGTGCGGATATCGGGCCTGCCCGTTTTTGCGTGCGGTGCATCCCGCTCGATTGCAATCGCGGCGAATTATTGAATCTGCTGCATCTCGTCCGACCGGATTAGGTTGCACGCGCGGATGGCGCTCGATACACGATTGCGTTTTGTTCATTTTGTCGCGGAGTGCCGTAAGGACGTGTGCGTTCGAGTGCGATGCGTTTTTAAGAAATCATTATCGCGATAATATCATCGATATCGCGGAGGCGATTGCTTTTACACGGCGACGTTGATAACTATGGAACGGCCGATAATTCAACACGTTGGATAATTATTCTCTTCGTTGTATAGTCATGTAATAGTCACGCAAAAGGAGCCATATAGAGCCATACTCGCTTTTCTTCTATCGGGAAATTATGACGATCATGAGCAAGATTTTTGCATGATTGCGGAAACGAGAAAATTCATCGTTATTCAGCAATTACTTCATAATAAGCACAGAGAGAGAGAGAGAGAGAGAGAGAGAGATGACGTTGCACTTACCAGATTGAACTCCGCGGGATGTCCCTGCCGCGAAAGTCTACGCCTGTCGGACAACAGGGGAATAAATCGATATTGTGGAACGGCTCGAATATTACTTTATTTGATGATGTGCTTAAACAATGAATGATTTTGATTAAGGCCAGTCACGCGTACATACAGCGTTGTCGAGCGCGACTCGCGGAGCTTACGAACGCGATAATTATACAATGAAATTTTCTCCCACAATTATATGTATATGTCGATATCGCGTCGCCTTGAATGACAACGGCGTTGCCCCGCCTTGAAAAGAAGAGACGGCAGCTCGACGGGGTGTGTGTGTGTGACTCGGCCGGAATTCGAAGTCGAAGTAGGATGGTAATATTTACAACGCGAGCTACTCAGATTTTTCGCTTGTACCGGGGAACTAAATGCTCCACCTGCACCTGCACGAGTGCGCGTCTCCTCGTGCGTTCTTTTCTCAAGTCATCGCGCGTTAAAGCGCGTCTGCTTTGCTCAAGGTAACGATCGGGAAGCGCGAATTCGCCAACGCATCTCTTGACCCTTGAAAACTTGTTGTCCAGGATGTATTATAGTTCAAGATAGCGTGACACAGAACGACGTACTCGTGCGGTCGATGAAACGTTCAGGAGTTTCGAATATTTTTAATGGAAATGTCGAGAGGGGGGTGGTGCTTAGCGTGTATTTGAAACATTATTAACCTAGATAATTAATCGGACATTATATATTTACATACTATGCGAACGCAAACCCTGGTTAGTCCTCGAGTCCATGACAGTTCTTAGAAACGACACCGCGATGGACGGCGATGGTGCGATATACAAGTAAAACCCTGACTGAAAGGTTCGTGTGAAATTTTTGACGATTAGTTTTCCAAGTGGAGAATGAAGTCGCGCGACGTCCGGATACCCGACTGGGCGTTTATTCTTCGACAACTTAACGATGACGATATATCGCCTAGCGGTGTTAAACTACTCTGTAACGTCGTGTTAGCTCTGCCTCTGGGATTAGCCTTGGGTCATCGAGATGAGATCATTCAACGTTCGCTGCGTCCTCGGCGCAGGTAGTAATTCTTTCTCGGACGAGGAAAGACCGCGTACACATAGCGAGATTCGTCTAGATTTGAGCTAACCGCATTATAGCCCGACCTGTGGTCTTTCGACGAGCTGACTTCTTTCTCGTCTCTCTCTCTCTCTCTCTCTCTCTCTCTCTCTCTCTCTCTCTCTCTCTCTCTCTCTCTCTCTCTCTCTCTCTCTCTCTCTCGGTCGTCGAGTTCATGAAAATTTTCACGCTCCGAAGGAGCGTCGCGAAGGAGACGCGCACGAACGTGCTCCCGTGCTCTTCTCTAAGTCTTAATAAGGTCTCCACACGTGCCTGGGCTTCGGACTTCTTTCTCTTCGCGTTCTGACGGCTTCTCTTTCAACGTCGATCCCGTCCTCCTTTCTTCGCGTCGTTAGATCCTGACCGATATTCTCCTTGTCCTGGCCCTTCTTCGTGCTGAGGTCTACCGTACCCTCCAGACGGATTTTCACGGTGAGGTCACCGCGACGGGCTATCTGATCCTGATCGATCTGCAGTTCCGAGTCGTTTAGATTCTCTATGCTCGGTCGTAGACGAATCGACGGCTCTTGGAAGGTGGCGTCTGTGGACGCGGCATCTTCCAGGTCGCTCCTGATCGGTGAGATTCTCGGGGAATCTTGCTCGGGGAGTGACTCGTCGCTCCTAACACGGTCTCTGTTTGGATCCTGATCGTTTCTATCGTCCACTTCGATACTGTCGTCCGGACTGTCCAATCCGGACCTACGCGAGACTCCTTGCTCGTCTCCTTTTCGCTCCTCGTCCTTCGTACTGCTCTCAGGACTGTCACTACTGCTTCTGAGCTTCCTAAGTTCCTCCAGGCGGGCCTGATCCGGCCTCTGTAGCCGTTGCTGCGCCATTCTTAGAGCCAGAGCGTGCCATTCCGGTTCCAAAATATATTGTTGCGTGTGGTACAGCGGGTTGTAAAGCCATGAGGACTGCGGCAACAATGGCGCGAATATCGACCCAAAGATGGATCCCGTGGCGCCCAGTAGATGAAGTCCTGTTACGAGCAAGATGGTGCGTTAGCTTTTGTTCGAGTTATATATACATACATACATATATATATATATATATATAATATATGAGCCTATATATATATATATATAGGCTCATATATGCGGGAGACCCAAGTCGCCGAATAGACCTCGGGTCGGGGAGTGTCTGGACTTTTACCTTGAAAGTGTGAGTGATGTCCAGACGGGCTGGGTGTCGTGGTAGTAGTGGTGGTCGACTCGGCGGGAGGCGTCGGCGCCGTCACGGAGGCCGTCGTCAGCAAGCCCGGTCCGGGGTTCCCGGGTGACGTTGTCGGCGTTACTTCTCGTACCGAAACACTGATGGGGCCCAGGTCACTCCTCGTGGACTCTTTCGGACACACCAATTTACACGGCTGTTAATCGTCTAATTTGGCAGGTGGGGGGAAGGCGGCGAATTTTCATTCTTAAGCGGGCTTAGTTCGCGCTCCTTTCTCTTCGAATTTTTTTCGTCTCGCGAAGCGATCGCGCGTCTTTACCGGCATTTGGTCCGGGCAGCCTCGGGGATCTTTGTTCGATGGCGTGGTGGAAGGGGTTGAAGGCCGACGCACCAACCGGCTGTGGGTGTGTGTGCGGATGGTGGCCGGGCGGCGGTGGAAGACAGTGCGGTGGTAGAGATCCTCGGGGTAACCCGCCCCAACCCTGGCCCGCACCTTGCTCCAGACCCAGGTGTTGCAATCCTGTGCAATCAAAGAAATGCAGATTACGCGTTTCCGGGGATTCTGTTTGCTCGGCCTGTCTCCCGCGCTGTCATCGCGCGTCGTGCTGACCTCTATATCGTCCCGAAATATTTGCTCTGTCGCTGACATCCGTGCTCTCGCGCTCTGTCTCTCTCTCTCTCTCTCTCTCCCTCCCTCTCTCTCTCTCTCTCTCTCTCTCTCTCTCTCTCTCTCTCTCTCTCTCTCTCTCTCTCTCTCTCTCTCTCCCTCTCTCTCTCTCTCCCTCTCTCTCTCTCTCTCTACTCCCTTTGCGTATGGGATTTATGGTGGTTTGCGTGGTTTCGAAACTCCGTGTTTAAAAGCGCATATTAGGAATAGATTCGACCACCCCCGCACTTTGGCGGACACGCGTGCGCGCGTCGGCGCGATTGACATTCCCAAATAAGTCACTATCTTCGGAAAAGCGAGCAACGCGACGAGTAGACGATAGAACCTGAAAGTGACTGATGCGATCGTTTTGTGACAAGACACCACATATTTCTGGGCGTCACAGTGGCGTTGTATAATTTTCAGGCAGGTAAACGGTGATCGACTGACAGTTCGAGTCGCAGAAACGCATCCCTTTGACGTAGAGGCGGTTTTGACGTGGATGGACAGTTAAATTTATCCAACAGAGAATGCACGGGCGATCGATCATAGCTTTTTTTTCGATAATAGCCAATATCGCGCGGTCGCGCAAGCATGTGTTTGAATGCAATTAAATTTATGACATCAAAAAGTTCGTCCAAGCGTGATCGATCGGGCAAACCGGACTGACATAAGTCGCATATCGCCCGCACCTTTGTCGCGTTCGTATGCACGTACGCGCTCCTCTTCCGTGAAATAAATTGATTTTCGTCTTTTCGTCCCGGGAAAAATCGCGCGCTTTCTTTTTTCGCTCATTGTCTGCGCGCGCTATCGGTCGCGTCTTGCGAGGGAAGTGAATATTTCACCCCCTCTCTCGCGCGATCCCACGTCGTCGTTAGCCGACGACGTTGCGCCAAACGCGGTTGGTTCTCGGCGCGGCGCGGCGCGGCGCGAGGGGGGAGGGAGACGGTGTAAGGAGTAAGCCCCCCGTGGTCATCGACGTGGTATCGGTTTTTCGAAAGACCTTGATCAATAACAGATTATGCCGTCATCTGTGCGGGGCAGTTTAAAAATTCCGTGAAGGCTGCGAAGCCACCGTGCGCGTCGGGGGTAGGGGTCACGGCGGGGTGGCAAGTCAGGGGTAGTCGTTCGCCGGAGCGGGGAGAATTGTCCGGTCACTGGCACGAGGGCGTGATCACCGAGACACGCGGATCGCCCCATTGGCGGCTTGCACACCCCCACCGGTAGCGTCTCTGCGGGTGGTGGGATGCGAAAAAGCTCGGTAGGGGTTGAAGGGGTGATTTTTAAGCTCTCTTTAAGCCGCGCACTCGCCAGGGAGGACACCGCTATCTCGCGTCCTACCACACACCGGCGTGGCACACTGAACGGGCCAGCCGTGAGAGCTCGTAGCCCTCCTACTTTATGAGGGGATTAAGAAAACGATAAGAGGCGCGCGAAAGCACCGCTGCCACCGAGCTTACGGGGGCCAACGGACGGCTTCCGTTGGCTGCAGCATGAATAAGAACCCACTTCGGTAAGCTTTTCAGGCGCGAGCGGGATTCTTAGGTGACGGCTCACGTCGCGCACGAGTATCGCGACCCGATAACTGATAATGCGAGTTTTCGTCAGCGAGCCGATTGAGTTTAAGTCGTCGTCGCTTTAGAAACATCGGTCGCTGTTAACGTTGACGTTGAGGTCTGTACCTCGTCAAGATACGGCAAGAAAATCATCAAAACCAGATTGGTGCTCGCGGTGGTGGGGAATATGTCCATGTATTCTCAACGCCAATGCCAATGATCTTTAATAATTTTTCAGGTTATAATATTGATGGTTAAAAAATAGAAATTATACGTATTGTCGTGGTTTTTGCAATATTTGAAAAGTAATACATAATTTTCGGAATAGTCCTATAAAGTTCACGCGCGAGGTGTAAACGCTCGATACGGACACGCGTCTCTTCCCCAGGAGGGCCGGTGGGTGAATGGTGTAACATATTTTCAATTTAATAAACCCCGAAAATGTGCCGTGTGCGCGCACCCTCTTTCGACGGAACTCGCGTGCCGGGTTGGGTTCGGCTGGCGGGCGATAATTCCGAAAACAAATGAAGACTAATGAGGGGTGGGCCCGGCGAGATCTGGGAAAGAGTGAGAGCGAGGGAGACAGTACCGCGGGAGACGCGGCTGAAAGGGTTCAAGGAGCCGCCGCTACCCTTTAAGGGGTGAGAAATGTTAAGCTTAAACGTTACGGCCCTAGGGTTAGTTGCCTTTGCGTGCGCCTTCCATCGGGGTACTGGAGCTTTAAGGGATGATGTATTATCGAGCAGCGTGCTCAAAATGTGCTACGTACTTTGGTCGCGCTCCCCGCCGAGATGCGGTAATGTGACGTCACGTGTAATATGAGCTTTTAAGCGCAGCTTTATATACGTTTCGCCGCCGAGCCGCGAGGTGAATTAAATTTGGCCACGTCGATTACAGGAGTCGTCGGGGAGATCCGGAATTTTCTTACACTTTTCGCCCCGCAATTATTCCCGCGCTGTCGTAGCTGTCTCCTCGTCTAGCCCGAAAAGGGGGAGGGAGGGAGAGAGAGAGAGAGAGAGAGAGAGAGAGAGAGAGAGAGAGAGAGAGAGAGAGAGAGAGGGAGGGAGGGAGAAAAAGAGAGGAGATCGCGTATAAACACTGTCGCCGGTAAAATTTCTCTCTGTAAAATCCTTTGAATCGTCCCGGGCGTTGTCGTGAGCTTCGAAGCGCGAGCACGTTTGCGGCGATGAAACTTAAAGAGCCGTTTAAAGACGTTGATTCGAGGCGTGACACGTGAAACGAGCCCGTGAATGAGCGAGAAGTCTTTCGAGTTTCCCCTGCGTTAAACCCTACCTGATCCTGCCAACCCGAGATACGTAATAAATTAATTCGCGTATTTTCCTGTCTGTCTTATCTATTCAAATCTATGCAAAACAGGCGTTAAAAACGCCCTTCTTGCTGCTAAGGCGTTAACCCTTGCGGAGCTCGATCCCCCTCTTTACAGCCTCTTCGCATCCTCTCTCTGTTACTCTCTCGCTCGTTCGTCGCTCCTCCTTCCACCTCGCGTTCTATCCTCTAGCTACTGCCGGTTGGATGTCTTTGCACACCCACCCTTTGCGCCCGTTCTCATTATCGCGTCGCAGCAACCCCTAAAATGCCACCCTGGAAAGGTCCCTGGCACCGATCTAAGCTCCACGAGGAGATATTTCGAGAAAGGACGGGAAAATTGCTATCTCTCTCTCCCTCTCCTCTTCTTCTTCTTCTCTCTCTCTCTCTCTCTCTCTCTCTCCTTCTCTCTCTCTCTCTCTCTCTCTCTCTCTCTCTCTCTCTCTCCTTCTCTCTCGCTCTCTCTCTCTTTCTCTCTATCTTTATCCACCTACTGCGTGATTTTCTCTTTGAAGTCGCGAAAGAGCGCAAAAATGATGGATCTTTTGAGAAACTGGCGATGCTCAGCGATGCATAAATTTTTATCCTCGTCGTTTATTACATATTGCAATAATATACACAAAACATGTTTTAACATTCTATTGTTACCGTAACGACGTAATTGATTCCACGAATGCGTTAGAAATTTATCTGATTTCATTAGAATCGAAAGAGAAGTTTGATCTCAACAGCGCTTTAAGAGAGCTTCAGATTTTTCATAATAATCCTAGAGCACTCGATTGAACGTGTATATTTTTTCTTTTGTAAACATAAGTATTATATTTTATTAATAATAGTAAACATTTGGTTTAATGACGGTTTATTTCAATTCTTTCAAGTTCAATTCAATTTTTCCAAGACTTACTTTCTTCAAAGTTGACTCCAGAGTTGGTCGAGGAAATCGTTTGTGAATGAATCGATTTCGGGAATGTCGCTATCTGGTTTCTATCTGTTAGGCTTGGTGGATTTTCGTGTCGGCGATAGGAAAGGAGATGAGAGAAGAGACCGACGGTTAGAGAGAGCGTCATTAGTTACCGTCGTTTCCAGAGAAAGGTCCCGGTCACTGGACCTGATTAAAAGACGGAACATCCCGGGGACGCCCTTGCAAGACACGCGAAGAGGGGGAGGAGGGTGAAATGTGACGCGAATTTAAAGGATCTGCAGTGATTCGACACGGGGGTGGACAGGAACAACCCTTAAAAAGGTTCCCTTTAAGGACCGCATGCCCGAAGGGTTGCCACGTTCGGTTTTCTGTGTACGTGAAAGAGCCCTTTAAACGCGTCGCATCGTAAATCAGGTACGACGGTGTCCAAATTCGGAGGAGGAACATAATCCGACGATCATGATGGTGGTGGCAGATCACAATAAAACTCATTGAGATTAGACACACACAGTACCTTACTCGTCCCAGACTTAAGACACGTATCTCTCGTATCAATGCAACAACAAAATGATTTGTTTATAAAAAAAAATATATATATATATATATATCCGAACGACACGCGGGAGACGAGAGAATTTTAGGTTCATTTTTCGCAAATTACACGTTTGGGTAGGAAAGAGATCCACTTTAAAGAAGGCCGCGCGAATTTACTGCAAAGCGATCCGGGAGCGAAGCGACAGTTTTAAACTGAGCGTTCCTAACAATCTCCCCCAAATGAGGTAAAGGCCACCTTATTGAAACAGGGGTCGCGATTTTTCCGGTTCTCTCCCCATCCCCGCCACCATCCGACCCCCCTCGTAGGCGGTTAATTGACACGGGAGAGCGGAAAGAGGGAGGGCAGATTGGGGCTGCGCGAGCTGTTCTTGTTAACTCGAATCTTGGCACCTCGCGATTTTTCATCCCCTTAGCCAGACTGACAAAGACGACGGCTCTCTCGGCCTCCCGGGAGGCGCGGCGCGATCAGGCTGTTTTCGTTCGTGGACAATCTCAACGACGATCTGCCGTGTGGTGTCTGTCACCGGAACATTAATTTTCCCTGGACTTGCTGACAATCGCTCCGGAACCTATCGCGAAACTTCGAAAAATCAACGCGGCCGAAAAGTAGGGGAGCATCTTCGCTTCATTTCATTGTGAGCACCGTCTGAAATTTTAGATTTACGGATACAATATATACCGATTTCAATAATTCCGTGCGATTATTACGATGGGATCAATTTTTAGGTACGAACGAAAAATACACTGACGCTGACGGTCGGCGAACTTTTGGACACATACGCGCGACGAAAGATGAATCGCACCGCGGTAGCGGGAGCAACGTTATCATCTCGATACGTGTTGAGATCGACGGAAGGACAAAATTAGAACGACGAATATCGGAGCTCTCTCCTTCTGAGGAGGGGAAGAAAGGCGCATTGGCCCGTTGGACCTCGGTGCTCTCACGCGACTCGGTCCTTAGGGAGCCCATAAAATTCGTCCCTGCTGTCGAGGTAGGCCCGAACGAAATTTAATAACATCCCCCTAGTTACACCTCAATGGGCACCTTAACAACCCTGCACGGCCAGCCACTCGTCTCGCGTCGATCCCGCTGCTCTTCCCTTTCTCCTTATCAACCCTCCGGCATAGATATCTAATAAACCACCTCTTGAACACCCTTACCTAGTCAGCGATATCCGGCCGGACGGGCAGTCGGCCGGCCGGTCGGCTTCGAAAATTCGAAAGGTGCGCGACTGACCCTCCGTCGGACTGGACGGAGGCGCAACCTGTGTGCCGACCGGCGAACTTCCAGCGAAAGGGTTGAAAAAACTGGCGGACGCATCACTCGAAATACACCGGTCGATATTCGAGTGCCGTTCTCGCACGCCTGCTGGAACAATGTAGGTGACCCAATTGCAGCCGGGTACAATTTGTTCGCAGCGTGAAAATTGTGCGCCCGTCTCTCCGCGATGTCATTTAGATTCTTTTGTGTTGACTGACCAAACCTCGAACCTCCAATTCCAAACCTGGTCTCCCGCCCGCCGCCCATCTCTGCCGTAGCTTCCGCGATTGCTCACCCGCGTTGCCGATGCACGATTTAGAAAAGAAGAGAGAAAAAGGAGAGGAAGAGCTTACGCGACCCGAGCTCCCGAGGGAGGTATTTAAAAATTGTACTTGGATTAACGTTCGATGCTTCTAATTATCCTCCCTCGCGATGTCGTCGGCGGGAAGTCGTCGTGTCGTCGGGAGAATCCGCGCGGTTCGCCGAGTCGCGCGAGGCGGCGCGGCGGGGCGGGAGGTCGCAAAGAGAAGAAAAGTCGAAGCTCCGAGGCGTACCAGCGGGCGCGGCAGTGGCTGATTCTTGATTGAGTAGCGCGGGGATGCGCGGGGATCGGATGGGGGTAGCAGCGAGAAATCGACGGCAGGACTGCCATCCCGTAGTACGCCTCGGGGATAGGAGGGAGCGAAGCTCCGTTAAGCCGCTTATCATGCCGAAACAATACACTGTCGGTGCACCAGTATCAGTACCCGACCCTCGCTGCTCCGGGCTAGTCCCATCAAAATTTGGAGCTTCGAACGAGTTTCAATGGAATTCGTGCCACCCGACTGTCCTGTCGAACCCGGCCGGATACCTGAAAACTTTTTCGAAAACGCTCTGCCGACGATGAAACGTTTAAAACCATCGTTTATATCGCAGCGAATGCATTAACGAAGAAAGAGTTTTGACTGATTACGCGCCGAAAAAACACGCCCGAGCGATATTTCGCGATTGATTTCTCTCGGCGAAATCTCTCGAGTGACGGCTCTCGCGCTTATCGAATTCGAATCAATCCGTGTTCGCGCGAGAAACGCGAATCACGATTGAGGAGAGAGAGAGAGAGAGAGAGAGAGAGAGAGAGAGAGAGAGAGAGAGAGAGAGAGAGAGAGAGAGAGAGAGAGAGAGAGAGAGAGAAAGAGAGAGAGAGAGAGAGAGAGAGAGAGATGGTGAGGCTCGTTCGTCGATTGTTCGGGAAAAGAGCACGACGGGAATATTTTCGATCGTCCGGCTACTTCATGACGATGTTAAGTTGAGCCGTGCCAAAGTTTCTTCGTGACTTCTCCCGACGGGGGGAGGGGACATCGTGAGAAAGAGAGGGAGGGAGGAAGGGAGAGGAGAGAGAGAGAGAGAGAGAGAGAGAGAGAGAGAGAGAGAGAGAGAGAGAGAGCGAGCGAGCGGCTTCAAAACGAAAAGGCGGAGTTCGTGCTCGAGGCTTAATCAGAGTCTTCTCCACTTAGAGGCCGGTGGCAAAACTCAATTTTGAGTCGGTGCCTGCCGACGTTCAATTTTGACACCCTTCGCAGCCACGAAGTCAGTCGGGGTCGCGGGTGCGAGAAGAGGGCGTCGACCCTGGCCCGCTGAAGTTGCCGCAGTTGCTCCTCTCGGGAGGGGGCCGCGACACACAGGGTTGCAAACTTAGTTATCTATCGACGGGGAGACGTGCCGAGAGGCTGAAGGTGAGCTTCGCCGGAAGCAGGTACCCGCGCAAACTTGTCGCGACGAAGACTCGGAGGATGCCCCCGCGCGCGCGTGTCTTCGATTAGAGAACACCCACTTACCCGACAGCTTGAATCCCAATGGGTCCTGCGGGTGTCCGAAGGGGAATGGCCGAGGTCCGAAGTGAAAGGGATGAAAGGCCTGGTGTCCTGCAAACGTGGGATGAATTCTCATGAATCGACGTCGACGTGGACGTCGCGACTCGACGTCGCGAGACAAACTTCATTCGACATTGGTTCTTGCGCGTGCGTTTCTCTCTCTCTCTCTCTCTCTCTCTCTCTCTCTCTCTCTCTCTCTCTCTTCCCATCCGCGGCGCGCGCGTTCGTTCAATCGGCCTCTTCGCCATTGATTACGGACTACAGACTCGAGTAAAAAGTTGTAATATACCGCGTTTATCCGCGGTGGGTAAAGTTGTACTCACTTGTCTTCGAACGCGGTTCCCTTGGGCCGTCCACGGTCACCTTGATTGCCTTCGACAAGGTGGCCACCTGCGGCGGTGACGTCTGCAGCATGATCGTCAGGGTGAAGCTCTTCCCTGAAACGAAAACGCGGTATGCTGGAGGTGGGAAAGAATTATCGCCCGGCGGTAAAACGAAAGACGGGAGATTTCCCCCCCCCCCTTCCCCATTGGGAGAACGATGTTCGTGCGCTTACACTTTGGCACTCGTACACCGCACCGTTTGCCGTATCAAAAACCATAAAGGCGCGAACGATTCTCTCTCTCTCTCTCTCTCTCTCTCTCTCTCTCTCCTTGGCCCGTGTGAACTCTATTATTCACGTCCAATTCGCCAACCGCGAACAGAGATATTCTCCAATCTCGGTTCTTTCTTTATTTTTCTTTTTATATCACTCCCCCTCTTTCTCGTTACCGCTCTCGCTCTCATTCCTCCTTCTCCTTCTCCTGATTTGTATTCCGCATTTGTATTCGCTGTTTAATTCAAAAACTCGCCAGAGAAATCTCGCGTCCGCACGTTGAAATTAAAGATATATATATATATATATATATGTTTTTTGTAAGCACTCTTGGGCGTGCAAATTACCGTCACAGCGTGCGTCACGTGATTGGTAGAGAATTCAAAGGTCAAACAGCCGCATCGCAACTATCGCGGTCGTTCGGTCGAGTCGGAATTTCTTGGCGGATTAAATCCAACGTTATCACGAAGGATACGCTTCGACGGCGCGCACGAGCGAAACGGCGGCAATGCGCGTTCGCGGTGCGTTCGCTGGAAACAAAACACAAATGTGCCGGAAGTAAGGGGTGAACGAGTGACGCCACCGCGTCGATGTTTGTTCCCGGATAGGCAGGAATATGTTAATACTGTGCCGGTGCTAAACGCGACCCCCTGAAATACGCGGCCGTCCGTCACGCGCGATTTCGCCGTTTTACCTTTCGGCGTGTCGACAACGCTCGGTAGAGCGATATAGATGAGATATCCTTCCCGCCGGGGAAATCTCGAAATTTTGACGTAGCTGCCTGATGTTTTACCGATGTTTTAAAGACGTGCGACGTGCGATAATATTCCGGAAGAAGCGACTCTCCGCTTCTTTAATTCTTAACGAGATGCATCTCATGCAAATTCGATGTGTGCTCGTTTGCTTGTTTCTATCCATTTTCTGCATGACGCAAGTTCCGTCGAATCGACGAGTTCATTTTCAATTACAGCAGAGCCGCGTCGTGGCAACCGACTCCGATCCTTGCTGCCCGGATATATTCCTCCGAATGATTTTTCCCAGACTATTTTCGCACGTTGCCTGCGCTTTTTTTCCTCCAAGTCCCGCCGATGACCGGAAACAATATCGGCGAACGGGCAGATGAAACGTGACACGTAACTGGCCGGGCCGTTTACTAAATTTCGATGTTTCGACGCAAATATTTCAATCGATGACGCGCGCGTCGCGCGGAATTCGTCACGCATTCGACGCATCGGGCGAGTCCTCCCGGGTCCCGGTAATCGCACGTACGCGAAATAAAATGCGGGGGCGGCCTGTCATCGCGCCGCCTCGTGTCGCGTCGCGTCGCGTCGCGTCGCGATGCCGAAGAAGAAAATAACGGCGGCGGCATACACGGCAAAACAAGGCACTTACGCGCTTTTTCGCGCTCCGCGACAATAAAGTTATACGGCTTATAATGGCGTCGCCAAGTGCGGCCGGTACGTACACGCGCGTGGTCGGGTAGTTTTATTTTATGGTAGCGCGCGGCTGAGAGGGGGGGGGGCGGCTCCCCGGTAAACGACCGCGTTTTTATGGTGAACCACGACATTTAACCGGCTTACCGCCCGTCGCCAGGCGAAATACCGGACTTTAACTTCGCCAAGGGAGCCGTGCCATTTCCAGCGCGCGCTCCCTTTCGCGTCGCGCGGTGATTGGCCGCTATTTTCGCGCCGCGCCGCTTCATGGTGTCCGTACAAATAGTCAAAATCAATTTTGCTCTCTGCGCATCGAGTCTCCGACTCTTTGTGCCGCATTCGCAGAGATTCGAGCGACTCCATCAACCTCCTCTTCGTCCCTCATATCGTATCTTAAAAAGATTCATTTTTAGCAATCCCCGAGAGAGAGAGAGAGAGAGAGAGAGAGAGAGAGAGAGAGGAGAGCAGAGGAACAGAGGAAGAGGAGGAATTTACCGCGGCTGCATCAAACACCGCATACCGCAATCGGGAATAATTCGTGGAATAATGTGAATCGACGCGTTCAGAGACGCATTTTCCCAAAAACGCGAGAACACCGCGAAGTGAAATTGAAATGTCATTGTCGGAGCCTTCAGTTTCATGACGGACGCGGGAGGTTTCGCCGGAGAAATTTCGCGGCTGCGAGCTAACGAGACCGAAGTTTATTGCCGGCGCGATGTCAGGCGCGAGAGGGCGGCGGCAACGCGAATCAGGGGTGATGGCAGGCATTTTGAGGGTGTTTATGAGGCATTATGTGTAACTCGTCGGAAGAGAACGACCCACCCCTCGGCACTCTGCAGTGTCTACAGTCTACTCTGCCGTGATCCGTCTGGCGAGATTCTAATTCATCGCGTGTCCAACGCGGCCATCGGCCGACTTTCAGTCACGACCGATCGCAGGTGTAATCGGCACTCGCGTTCTCTTTGGAATTTCCAAACGATCCTATCGTGGCGAAAGGTGGCGCTGATTTACCGCGCGATTTATGACGGAGGCGGGCGTTTTGCGACTCTTTTGGTCATTCTCTCTCTCTCTCTCTCTCTCTCTCTCTCTCTCTCTCTCTGTTTCTTTTTTTTTGTTTTTTTTAAGCGCTTCTTTATGCGCCGAGGATTTGACTCGCGGACGATGGTATCCTTCGTGCTCGCAAACAAGTCTGAAAAAAGTTATTAATCCACACGTCGTACGTCACTTTTATCCAACAAAATATTGCCCGGTCGCAGACGCGATTGAGAGGATCCATAAAGATTACGTCGGCCGAGTCGACTGTAGAGTTTCCCGTTACGGTGGACTTTTACAGGAAGATCGAGGGATTTGCTCGGTTTTCGCCGGGGCGATCCACTGCGGCGTCGGTATTTCTCATACTCGGGTTTCGAAATTTCATGCCGGAAAAGAGAAGACGCGCGCGCGAGTTCATTTTTCCTCGCGTAAAAAAAGAGAAGAATAAGACGCATCAATTCGACGGTTTTTTTGCCCGAGTTTCTGCGCACAAACGCAGAACATTCTCGGATATCCTCGCGATGATTTAGCGAGCCGAAAACGAGCCGGGTGAGAAATTAATTCGGGCAAGGTTGGCTCGCGTCCACTTACGCGACAAGAATTATGCGAGAAGACACGAGAACGCTCGCGTTCGCCCTAAGTTTACCCAGGGATCATGCAGTGTTAAAAACTCCCCTGTTTGCCGGCGAGGCGAGTGCGAGGGTTGCTCGGATCGTTATTTCGGAGTGTTTGTCGTGTTTTAAGATTCTGACGTTTTGACTACCCGAATCATGGTAGACGACGAGGCCGAGTGTGTACCACCCGTGACACGTTTGAAAGGAAGCTCTTTTTTATCTGCACACGAGTGCCCGCACGAAATGTTAAACGAGCGTCGGGGGGGGGGAGGTAGGGCTAACACGCATCGGCTACGTGACTGTCAATAATTTATACATTCGCGATTCTTCGACGACGTCGACGACGTTGCGAGCAGAGACAGATCGCTCATTGCGGAAAAAAAAAAAACAGAGATTGTCTCGAGATCGCGATCGTGCCGAGCGATTTCGTCGGCGGCAGCATCGAGTAATGACTCCGACGAACTTTTCTGTCGCTGGATAAATTTCCACGGGGAGAGCGAGGAGGGCGGGGGGGAGGGGGGGTATGGAAGGGGAAGGCAGAGAGAGAGGCGGGGAGCAGTTTCGCCGGCAATAATCGCAACGTCGCGCGTCTGCGACTCTCAGCTGCGACGGCGAGACCGGGTGAGTGGTCATTGAAGCGTTTGTAAAAAGCTGCCTTGGTGTTGGCGCGACGTGAACGAGGGGCGAAAAATATCGAGAAAATAAAGTAGGAAAACGTGGAATTAATATATGTGAAAGAAACGGATATGTACGTACGCGCGCGCGCGACTCGCACTACAGGCCAGAGCGGAAAATAATGTTTAATCGGTAGAAAATCTCGGCGCAGTCATCCACCGTGGAGGACCGCGCGCTCCTCACCTCCCCGCGCGCCAACGCGCGCGATCCCTTCCGCGATCCCTTACATGGCCGAGAGGGATGGATTTTTTAATTTTTAATTGGCAAAAAACGTCGCCGAGGTGGTCGGCGAGATCCGCCGCCGCGCTCGCTCTCGCGGATTTAACTGGCGTGCTTCGGGTTCTCGGAAAACGTTAATATCTCCTAACGTTGGAAGTTACGTCACTTTAGAGAATTATCCGTCGAAACATCGTCGCCCGCGCGAAACAAACTGTCGTGTTTCCGTGTTGCGACATTTATTTTTCTTTACATGTAGTTCATTAAAGAGAGAGAGAGAGAGAGAGAGAGAGAGAAAGAGAGAGAGATCGCAGTGGGGTGTTTCGCGGAGAATCTTGAACGCGGGATCGCTAATGCTTTTTGTCAAGAATCAATGTTTCTCTCGTTTTCGCCTCGAGGTTATTCTCTCGAGAACGAGGACACTGATGAAGTGTCCGCGGCTTATTATGATTCAGCGAATTAGCGAATCGCTGAGGGGAAGATTTTAGAACCCCGTCCGATCCGATACGCGCTTCAAAGCGAGAAGAATTGTGCCGATGCACAGGGCAAGCGGTCGCAACAGCTGTTCGGTCCACCGAACACGAGGGCCGCTATTTTTAAAGGTCGATGAAAACGAAGCTTGTCGACCCTTCTCAACGACGACGAGGACGACGGGCTTTCACGACTTATTAAATCATTTTCGCGCCGCGCGGAGCTCTTTAGGACAGTTTCGATGAATCACCCTTCGCAATCCTGGTCATTCGCTGAGAGGAATCTAGGTGTTGAACACGGTACCTTGTCGTTGTACTTCATAGTCAACGTCGGCTTGTCGAAATTCCCGTTTCCCGTGAAACCGCGAGACAAGAAGTCGATCGTTGAATTCAAGCACCAAAAAGGCGTCACTCGGCGTTCCCGCGCACGAGAAATGCCCTCGCGTATAATTTACACGACAATTTCGATACGCGACGTGTGCAGCGCGTTAGCGTAGCGTTAGCGTAGCGCGGTCGATACGAGCGCGCGCGCGCGCGCGCGTTTTTCTTCCGTACCGTAAAGGAGATATCGAAGATTCGGATCTGCGCTCGCGCGAGAACGGCAAACTCGCGCTGCAACGTTTGTTTATACGGCCTCCTCCTTCCACGGGAAGAGAGCGGGGGAGGGAAAGGGTGGATGGAGCGAGAGAGAGAGAGAGAGAGAGAGAGAGAGAGAGAGAGAGAGAGAGAGAGAGAAAGCGGCTCCGAGCGAGACGGGGATCCATTGCGCCAGGACATCGGTCAGGATCTAGCTGTCGATAGTCGGAGCTTTCCCTCGGATTCTCGCGCTCTTTTCCTGCCTATACCTCGGCCGGACCGTCATAAAACACAGGTAACTCCGGTATTTATGCCCGTCGTTTTTACGCCCGTCGCCACCCCCGTCGTGCCACACCGCTCCCGTTCTGTTCTCTTTGTTTCTCTCTCTCTCTCTCTCTCTCTCGCGCGCGCGCGCGTCCGCGCGCTACACGTACGAGCAGAGAAACACGCATATATAGCCGCGTCTCCGTACGGCCCGTGACTCCTAGCAGTCGGAGGTTGACGCTAATCCCTGTCGGGAGCGAAAGGGGTGGCCGAGTGATATACGCCCCTGCGCCGGTATGATAATATTCCGCCGGCGTCCCCCGTTGCCCCTGGCCGCCTGGCGTAGTCGTTACACTGCAGCCGCACACCACGCAGCAGAGGAGAGATCCCTCTTTTGGGTCAGCGCGTAAGACCGAATGAAAGCGATTATAGTCGATTAAAAAGGGTCGGAGAGAGCGAATCGTAGAGTCGAGGGAAGATAAAAGAAAGAAAAAAGAACACTCGCCGGTCGTCTCGTGTCTCCGCGTCCAAGTTTTTTTCCCCGGTGCTTGACCTCATCCGTCCGTCCGTCCGTCCGTCCGTCCGTCCGCGAGGAGAAATCAGCATTCCTCGGGAAACAATTGACTATTGTCCGCAAAAAAAAAAAAAGGAGAAAAAAAACAAGAAAAACGGACAAGTCGTATCTCAGCGGCAAGGTGAGAGGGTGCGTGTTTGTGTGTGAATGCGTGTCATTGATGTTCACAAAGATTCTTTTCACTTTTAGTTATACTTCTTTCCATCGAAGTACTCGTTACTTTTGTTCACCACTTTCTGCTGCTCTTTAGGTGATTGTACGATTTCATCTTTGTGCGACTCAGTTCGGACTCAATTTTCGAGAGAGAACCTAACCGGTGAGGAGAACCTACATGTAGTCTGACAAAGCGACTTGCAACCCCTCGGATACATAATTTATTATTCACGAGAGTGTTCACGAGAGAAATTGCATTCGCACATCGCGAAATAATTACGGATATTCCGATATTCGTCGCGTCGCTCCATGCGGTAGAATTCGAATGTCGAACGGTGCGAGAATGTCCCGTTCCACTCGGCTGATTTCTGGCGGGCGAATTTTGGAGCCGAGTCCAAGATTCGCTGGATGAACGGGCGAAAGATGAAGAGCACCCAGCGCCTCTCTCCTTCGGTTTCTTCGCGCCGAGCGGCGATTCAACTGCCGCCCCGTCAACGTCGTCACGCATCTCGACCACGATCAATTCTCCTCGTCCGCATTCGCAATATTAAATTGGCCTGACAAAGCCCGCGGGCGAGCGCGAGACAAATATTTGCAGCCGAAAAAGTCGGCAACGCGCGCGCGCGCGCTCGCTCGCTCGCTCGCTCGCGTGGGATGCGTGCAAAACAACAGGATCAAAAAAGCGAGTGGAACGCGTGAGGAATCTGTATATAAAATGCACTCGGCTCCTCGCCTCGGTGGTATTATGCAGCGATACGCGCAACGTGACTCGCCGACAAACATCATAAATTTTCGATTTATTCAACGGGATCCGTGTTTGTCGTTTCTTCCGTAGGTAATAACGATCACCTGTCTGTGCATTTAGCCTTTGCGCAGCCCGTAGCTCGCGTTTATTTTTGTTCTCTTTTTTCTTCCAATTCTCTCTGTCTCCTTCGCTCTCTCTCTCTCTCTCTCTCTCTCTCTCTCTCTCTCTCTCTCTCTCTCTCTCTCTCTCCCTTCTCCCTTTCCCCTTTGCTTCATTGCTTCAGTCGTGGCGCAAGTATTTAATTTTCACCCGGTACATTTCGCCCGTGCCTCGATGCTCGACGAGATTCGAGCTTATCTCTCGACGCGAAAATTCGTCGGCGTCAGACGTGTGGAAAGAAAAATCCGGCCGATCCTGCGATCGCGCGTTACGCCGCGCGGAACGATCTTGCGTCACTCTCATATGGAGAATCTAGAGGCAAATCGTTGCATACCGGTGGTAGTTAGGGGCTGCCCGTAATACAGTAATGAGGGCTTACTGCCATGGAAACCAAAGCCGCTTACAGCCAACCACTCTACCTCCATCTATACCCCCCTCCCCCCCCGTGCGCCCTCTGTCCCTCTCTCGCGCTCGCGCTTCGGCCGTACCATCCCACGATTTCCTATATATCCCACGATATCCTCATTCGCGAGTCCCGCTAAAAATTCCGGAAACCGTTCTCCGGTCCCCATTGTTCCGCGACCAGTATCTCGGATCTATCTCCATTTCTCGAGTGGGAAAGAGGCCAGTGTGCGGACGGGACACCGGACCGACCAGTGTGTGCTAAAACGCCGATGTTCATAAGTCGACGTCGATATTCGGCTGGAGATACGATGACGAAATTATTGCCGATGAACGCGCCGGCATTCCTGACTTCGAACGGAAATGATTGTCGAAATAAATCAAGCGAATCCGAGTGGCGAGAAGAGAGCGTCCGAGCGCGCCCACGTCGGTTTAGGGTTTACCGTCGAAAGTAGCGCGGAACCCGCCGATATCGCAAACCCCGCAATTTCCTTTTCCAATTTGCCATAAACAAGTCGACCACCCCCTCGTTAACCGGGGAACGCCCGTGACTGTTCTTTCTCTCTGTCTCTCTGTCTCTCTCTCTCTCTCTCCCTCTCTCTCTCTCTCTCTCTCTCTCTCTCTCTCTCTCTCTCGAAAGTTCAGCGTCGTCGCCGAGCAAAGGGAGGACGACAGAAGAAGGCGGACGAAGAGGACGGTGGTGCAACTCGGTCGAATTAAAGGAATTAAAGGACGCCTCGTTACTCGTATCTTCCGATTCCCTACCTCGACTCCTGCGCGTAGAAAGGGGAGAGACGAGAGGGAGCGAGGGAGACGAGAGAGAGAGAGAGAGAGAGAGAGGGGAAAAAAAGATGCTGAAAACTTTGCTCCTTTCCTGCGATCTAGGCCCTCTCGTGCCGCCTCTTCCCCACCCCTTCGGCTCTTCTCCAAGAAACGAACGTTTGCATTAACCGTTCGTAATGGCAGCGATTATTAGGGAGCATTATTCAGATGTCTCGGACCCCAATTTTTTTTCTCCCCTCGCCGCCCTGCGTGGCGCCTTCTCGCGGACGAAAGGAACGGCTGAATTATTGAAACGCGGAGCCGGGAATTAAAAAATCTCCGCGCGCGCCCCTTACTTCGTCGCGGCGCGGCGCGGCGCGGTGTGGGCGGGGGCGGCGGCAGTCGCAGGAGATACCGGGTCACGGTATTTGTCCCGTGAATTAAAAATGAGGACGGAACGAGGGGGCCAGGTGGGTGGGCCGTGCTTGGCTTTCGACGCGGGAAAAACGAGGCCATCAGTCGGGGCACCACCTTAATGTAGCGTAGTCTGAATGATTTAAGACGCCGCGCATTGCAAGAAGGCGAACGCGGAAAACCCGATCGAGCGTCCGAGCGTCACTCAATGGGGAAGGTTATTTCGGTGGAGCGAGTAAAAAGATAACAAAGATGAGAAGAAAGTGGAAGAGAGAGAGAGAGAGAGAGAGAGAGAGAGAGAGAGAGAGAGAGAGAGAGAGAGAGAGAGAGAGAGAGAGAGAGAGAGAGAGAGCCACGAGTCGCGAGTAATCGGGCCCCGTTGTGTTCCTCGAGTGCTGATTGAATGTTATCTCAGAGTGTTCCGTCATATTGACGGTAAAACCGTGTGACGACAACGACGACAACAAATTAAGCGTTATCTTATTTGTTAGGATTTATGCTATTACGCGATGGAGAGTGGGTGCAGGGGGGGGGGGGATGCAGTTGAGAGACGAGAGAGTGACTCACCTCTGCCGCTCCTGCCGACGAACCTGAGATCATTGAATTTGGCGACCTGGTTTTTCATTAGGGCGGTAGAATTTCGCAATTCCGCGCAACAATTCTCGTCGTTCCCGGCGCGCACTGTCACGAGGGTACCGTCTCCCACCTCACCGAGGGCTACCACCTTGAAGGCTACCGGCAGGGTCTTGTTTGATCTCCAATGCGACGGCAATACCGTACAGACCACATGCGGGCAACCTTGCATATCGATATATAGAAAAATTATATCCTCCGTATGCACAGATTAAGCTTTCTATTCTATTTTGTTGATTCGAACGAACGCGACGACTATTTCTATGAGACCGAAAAATTGCTCTTGCGTGTAACTCAGAGCTCAGAAAGAAATATAACACTTGGTTTTTCAATTGACGAAAAAATTTGTTTGCTTCTAAAAATGAGATTTAAAATTCTTTTCTTTCGTATCATCGTCACACAATTGGCACATTGAGAGAACACGTAGAGAACAATAATGTGTCGCGGTGGAAATGCTTTCGCGCTGACAATTGTTCGCATTTGCGAACAGCACGAACAGCTTACCTGTGCGCACAAGTTCTCCCGGGTGCTCCGCGAGCAGTCCGTCTAACGTCCTCTCGGCGAGCAAGTCGGCGGTGAGCGCATAATCGGAGAGGTGATTTCCGCTGACCGAACCTTGAGGAGGTACCTCGTTGGCCAGGTGCATTCTTCTCCTCGAGGTTGAGGCCCGGGCTTTCCGTATCCTGGGCCCGCCAATTTGGCTCACCGGGTTCGCCTGGTGAGCTCCGCGCACTGACCTAGGATCAGGATAGTCTAGGCCGGGAGGCCGATCCTCAGGTCGAGCATCTCGCGAAGGATTCGTCATGAGACCGCTAGCATCGGTACCTTCGGTCGAGACGACGACGTCACCTTCCCCCGCGAGCTTGCCGAAGGAGTTCGGCTCAATTGTTTATGCCTTATCGTTGGCCTTATCGTTGGAAGTTCAGGGGAGAACGTGCCTGCTGGCCGCCGCCGCCGCCGCCGCCGCCGCCTCCGCCGCCGCGCGCGCGAGCCGCGGCGAGAGTGCTGATCGAGCCTCGACGATCGATTCACGATTCGTCCGGCCGATCTCGATATGATGCTTGGTCCGCCGATGATACGTTTGGATTTGCGATTGTACTCTTCACCTCATTCCACTGCACGCGAGCGCTCGCGCTCGGTTTCTCGATTTCGCTGCAATCCTCCGCAACGTGAGGCTCTCTCCCGCGCGTAAATCGATCGTTATGTTCGACGCGCGGAGCCCGCTCGGCGATGGTCCGAGGACCTCACGAGCATAAATCGGCTTTGCCGATGGCGAGGGTCGCCATCGCATTACGATCGCGCGCGTCGCTGCTGTATCTGCCTCCCTGGTGGGAATTGGATTTGTTTTCTTCTTCGGGATCGGACGATACGCGCGCGATCTCTCCACGGCGCGGCGGCTTCTTCAGGCCCCCGCGAACCCTAGGCTGCTCCTTTGATCCTTATTTCATTATCCTGTCGCGGGGGTGGTAGCAGTAGGGGTAGCATCCGTTTGCAAATTCTTCGTCTCGATTGCCAAGTCGCGGGGAAAATTCGTTTTATTGGAATCGTCGTCGGCAATCTCTCGGCGGCCTTTGCCCCCTCCCGCCCTCCTCTCCGCGTATTCCCGATTCTTTGATCCAGGATCCGGAATCGCTGCCGCGCGTCTTATCAACGGCGATGGAGCACTCGTGGTCGCTCAAGACACTCGAGTCGGCTGGTCGTCGTGCTCCGCAGGTTGCTTCTTCGCGGGAACATGCTCGCTCCTCTCTCACTCTCGCTCGCGCGTCCTCGAAACACTATCTCGCACCGGCGTAATCACATTCGCGCACTATCTTCTTCGGTGTCGGTACATATTTCCACTAGAATTAAAATGCTACACCGCTGACATCTTCCGCGCTTTTTCGTTTCTTTTCTTTTCTTTTTATCTCAACTCGAACACTTGGTGTTCTCGTGCGCGCGGCGCTCACTGCGCGAAGTTTCGCCGAACTTTGTCGAGATCCGCGCGCGGCATCTGTCACGTGTATCTCTCTCTCTCTCTCTCTCTTTCGCCCTCCCTCTCTCTCTCTCTCTCTCTCTCTCTCTCTCTCTCTCTCTCTCTCTCTCTCTCTCTCTCTCTCTCTCTCTCTCTCTCTCTCTCTCTCTCTCTCTGTCTCTCACCGATCGAAGTCTTGATCAATCACAGAAAACGTATCGGCAAAATCCAACAAAAGAGAAAAATAAAACACCACACGAGGGAGGTGAGTTCAGCCCGCAACGATCGAGGCCCGATGATCACGAGCCGTGGCGGTAAATTTCTTCGTTCGCGCGCACATCGACAGCGATCCGCAAAAATTCGCTGTCGCGCGAGGATCGCGAGAAACTGCCGGGGAATACGTCTTCTTCTTCTTCTTCTTCTTCTTCTTCGTCTTCTTCGTCGGGTGACAGTCGTCGGGTGGTCAGCGTCGCGATGACGGTGATTCTTCACCTGCTTCACGTTGCTTCGCCGGGGTGGCAGGGCAGCTTCTACGAGGAGGTAGGATAGGGTGTTTAACTCGCGCGGTCTCGTTTCGGTTCGGCGGTGGAAGATGGCGGCTTCTGCGGTGGAGCCGCGCGGTGTGGTTGCGGTGTATTTTTGAGGCTGCCGCCCCCAGCCACCACCGAGACCACCCTGGGTAACCCTCCTCGCCCCCTCTTTTCGTCGCCCCCGCAGCCCTCCGCGCGTCTCTTCCACGCCGCCGCCACCGCCGCCTGCCCCCACGGTACCCAGCTGGTGGGGGGTTGGTTTTTCCAAGCGGTGGGGAAAAATCTCTCTCTCTCTCTCTCTCTCCCTCTCTCTCTCTCGCCCGCTCTCTTTCTCTTTCTCCCTCCCTCTGTCTCACCCCCTCGCTCTCGTTCTCTTTTTCTCTCACTCTTTCTCCCTTCTGCGCCGCGCGCACGAGCCCGCGGGACTGCCGGCGCGTTCCCGACGATACTCCCGCCGATGACGACTCGTGCGAACTGCACTAACCTCGCGTGCCGTCTTCCGGGCTCCGTCGTTGCGCCGGACGACGGGGGACTCGTGGGATGTTCAGGGGATGATGACGAGTTCCCGGAGATGAATCTCGGCGCGTCTTACCGCGCCGCATGATTGCGGCGCGAGATTGACAGAGCCCGGTCGAACGAGATGATTTCAGCGTCGCGCGTCCGCGCGACGGATGGGCAGCGCGAAATCCGGGGACAGGGCGCGCGAGTGCGCTCGCTGCTGGGCGCGACGGGGGTTACCTCGCTTCTTCGCTCAACGACGATGACGTTCGTGTCGAAGGTAGTTTCCCCGTCGAGTGTGCACAATTCGAATCGCATCACGAACTCTTCACATTACGGGTAATGATTTCGCCGTGCATCCCCGCAGAGCGTCATAATTACACTTTGAACACACACACACACACACACACACACTCCGTGCGCGTGTGTCCCACTGATAATCGAGAGATTTTCACTTCTGTAATTACTTACGAATTAGTTTCGTTCGTTCGATCGCGTGCAACGATCGCGAAACTAACGGGGCACATTTGTTATCGCAATTCACACGCGAACGAACAGACACACTTCAGCCTCCTCTTCTGTCCTCTCGTTGATCTCGATGATCGCGCATTCTTCTTGCCCGATTACCGCGCGAACGAAGATCCTCTGATTAATCCTGCACAGTGATGCACGTTCGCACGCACTTCCGCTCGTCGGAAGTAGAAAATATTTTGGACGATTCACGCGCGCGATCTTCCGTCGGTCGGTCGGTCGGCGGCCGGCCGGCCGGCCGATTTCTTCCCGCTTCCGTCGTTCAACGACCACCCCGCGTGAGACTGCGAAACGACACTGGGAAGAAAGGGAAAACAAAGACGATAGAAAGGCCCCTTGTGTAGTTGCGTTTAGCACCGAGGAATACGGGGGTTGCGCGATGCTCGGGGATTCTCGTGAGGGTGCGGACGAAGAACGCGCGGTACGGTCGGGACGGAGACGGCCGCGCTCTCTCAGTCGGCTAGACTGAGAGAGAGAGAGAGAGAGAGAGAGAGAGAGAGAAGAGGAGAAACTCTTTGCCCTAATGCAGAAGTAGTCATCCCCAGCGCGATCCGGCTGGAGGATACCGGCATATACCTATTGTAAAAATAGCGCGTCCCTTAGCGTATAACTTCGCACTAGAACAGAGAAACATGGTGCTGGTTTGAACGTTATCCCGCCGAACGCGGGATTTCCTCCTCTCGCTCCGTCGTACGCTCGTCAATTACACGACGAAGATCCTATCTCTATTCCATCATCGGCTGTCACCGATCTGTGGCGCTGCGAATACGACCGCCGCAGTCAGCCGACGGAAAGCTTGAGGGTTCGTCGGCTCGTCCGTCGGGCACAATGGAACACGACGCAAGCATTGCAACACGTCACTCTTTCGAGAGACAACGCGGGACTATCGATCATGACGTATCTGCACCGAGCCGTACGTAGAACCCCTAAACGAGACGGCGAGCCCCCTGTATAATCCTACACCCCTACGAGGAACAATGCAACGCCTCCGCGCGTCCCTAAATGCAGACCTTCCGAGATGCATTTCGTCATGCGTAGGTTCTTTCACATCGCTGGCGCTCGATGACGTCCCCTGCTTTCAATTACATCCGCCAGCGTTTTCGGCGCCCCGGCGCTTGTATTTCATTATTACTCGGTGTGCCGAATTGTGTCGTCGTACGTGCGAAGATTTACGAAGAGGCAAGCAAGGGAGGCGTTGTTTGTCTCACTGCTCGCGATTACACAGCGAATACACGCGATCGAGGACTTGCAAATCGCGTTGAAATTTTTCGCCTCGCGTCTTCGTTGCGTGCTGCGTATCGAGTCCTGTGTCGATCGAGAGTCAAGGGAGCTGCTGTCATTTGCCACAGGCGAGAGCTTCACCCTTCATTCTCGAGGGCGTTAAAAAATGTTTGGGGTTCGTGCGACATTATCTTTGAATTTTTATCTCGCGGGAGACGGAGAGAGAGAGAGAGAGTGAGAGAGAGAGAGAGAGAGAGAGAGAGAGAGAGAGAGAGAGAGAGAGAGAGTGAATTAGGATGAGAATGTAGCGAATGCGATTGGCATGCCGAGGGAAGTTTGGGGCGATTTAAGCCTTGGCGGACAAATGGTGTTAAAAGATTGAGAGCGAGTAACGCGTCGAATGTGCAAAATTGCAGCATTCGGTGTGTGGTTTAACTAGCAAGCTGATATAATCGCGGTTGCACTCTTCGGCATGTTGTAATATTTAGCTTCGCTTCGCACTACGCGCCTCTTTGTTGACGATAAAAAAACAAGAGCTGCCAGACCAGAAATATCGCGCTGTATTTTGCGTATTTTCTATATTCCCCGATGATAATAAGATTTATAGGTTATCACGACTTCTCTCGGACGTCTATATAACATTACGCATTCATTTGATTCCGCGCGCTTAAATCTAATAGAGCCCTCCAATATCTATTGACGAGCATTGTAATCATACGATGTGCGCAGCAACAAAATAAAAACTCAATAACTTCACTACCGCGTGCAGTCAAAACGATTGGTTTCTGTTTGCGTTTCGGCTATTTTTTTCGCCGATGTCCTTTCGACAGTAACGATATTCTATAACCCGCATCCGACACGGTTCACATAATCGGTGAATCGATGAATGCCCGACGATTATCGACGCACTTTTCCGTTCAAATTAATTGGACCAATTACCAACGCCGGACAATTATCTGCTGGCGACCAATTAGATCGACAGGATTTGTCGACGACGTGTTGCCTGGCAAGGAATAATTGGAGCTTATATACGTTGCCGAAAAAAAAAGAGACAGCGGCAGTTGAGAGAGAGAGAGAGATACACGGAGGTGAATCGGTAAAAAGTACACGACATTCAAACGGATAAACGGTTTAACCAAAAATTTTCGAGACGGTTCCGCCGCGACTGTGTGCGACAGTTAGCCGTACGAGAAATAAAAAGATGTTAATACTTTCCGGGACGATTAAGTTTGATATTTCAAGGGCGCTTGAAATTCGCACTTCTCTCGTGCGTTCTCTCAGGAACCTCACTCACGAGACCTTTCCAGCTGATTTCCAGCTTAAAATTCACCAGGGTCACCGCTCTATGGATCGTCGGGAAAACCGTCGTCGTCGAACGAATTACGATCGGTGGACCGGCGAATGATCCACATACCGCGAGATATCTCCACCTCCACACAGCGCACACGGTACAACTTCCCTCGTTTCTTGACAGATTACAACCCCACAGCACTGATGTTCAACTAAGGTCACTTGTCGGGGTTAGCTCGCGGAAGCAGTCACAGACTCGCAAGAGGCTCGGCCTCGAGGATACCACCACTTCTCCAGCCGCAGGTTCTGCACTTGCGGCGCACGATATTAACCCGTTTTAACCCGGCCCGGATACGCAGTTAGTCGTGAGATTTCTCTCGCCGGCTCGTCGCGGCACTTCGATTTTCGCGGGCGCAAAAAAAGGTCGCGCGGCGGATCGGCGCGCGCGGCGACGGGCAGCGCGCGGCTGCTGCCAGGACGAAGGGGGGTGACGAGCGAGGGGGAGAGGGTGTGCGGATAAGCGCGCGGGGGTGCGCTCGCGTTGTCGAGCGGAGGTAATCACACACGGTTAGCACATGTTACCCGGGGGGCAATTCTCGAAAAAGGCCGCGGGTCGTTCCAGACGACGTCTTGCGCGAGGGGCGAGAGGGCGCGAAGGGGGTGAGAGATCTCGGGGCCCTCCGCGGACTCGCGGCGGCTCGAGGGGGGTCTCGGCGGAGGGATGTCGGCGGAGACGGTAGAGGCGGCGCCGGAGGCGGGCCGCAGTTTTTCAGGAGCTTGCGCATGCGGGTACTTTTATACCCCACCAGCGACACCGCCGCCTTGGCGTTCTTAGAGGCTTCTTAGGGTGAGTTTTGTCCCCTACGAGGCGCACTCCGACCTACCGCCGCCCACCCGCGCACCGCCGCCGCACGGTTGTCGCGGAGAAGTCGGCGGATGCCTCGGCTGGCTCGAAGGGGTTGCGTTCTGCTGCTTCTCGCGGTGCTTGCGGCTGTCGACGACGGCTGC